GAAAAAATGCAACTGGTGCAAGCCGGCTGAGCTACCGGTAACGGATGGGCATCGTTCCGTTAAGCTAACAGCCGGCTACTGTGCATCAAAAAATTACTATGCACAATTATATAAGGTTAAATAATGAGATAGTGGTTGGAGGGGGTGGCTAAGAGGGATGGGGTGAGACAAAGAAATTCACAGCACGAACGCCACTGAGGTCGGGTCCTAGCCATATCAGCAAGCGTGTCCAACCAAACTTGTTCATCGTCTTTCGGACTCCAACCAGGGAGCCGAGACACTGCAACCGAGGCCAGCTTCGAAGTGAGGGCCTTCATTCTTCTCGACCAAATCATCGTTTGGCCATCCCTCCTCTTCTTCAATCCACACCCTCGGCGCGCAAACAACGCACGTCGCGGGAGTTGGTGGGCTGGCATGCTTAACACGTGGCCGAGCCATCGGAGTCTGATGCGTGAAATAACGGTGCTGAGCGGTTCAGTTCCTTTTCCTATGCCATAAACAAGACGTCGAACACGCTCGTTGCTCACGCGGTGTTCCCACCAGATATGAACTAAATTACGCAGGCACCGGTGGTCAAACGTAACTAGCCTCTTCAGGTCGGCTGCTTTAAGCGGAAAAGAAATATTTGCTTAGTACTTGCTCATCACCTTAATCCGTGCCATTAAATGGAAATTGTCGGATTGCTGAGGAGAAACACCCTCCGTAGCGCACACGAATCTCAGAGTGGACAAAACCGTCTAACATCCACGAGCTGCATCGTGGTCAGTTCAACGGTAACGTGCGTTCAAGTGGGTGCCGGCGATTGCTTGCATGTTGCTCCCTTGTGTAGGTGTTCTATGTGCACGCATTCATGGGTACGACGCTTGTATTTTCATAAATGAGTCGCGAATAGCACTCGACTAGTAATAACCTAAACCTCAGGTTACACATCTGCATACCCTTGAAGCGATTAAACCAGGACTTTGATGTCATAGCCCAAAGCGCGGTTCATATGACGCCTTACCGTATATGCCAAATCGACTACATATTTAGGCCGAAATCAGCATATCATGTAATGGGAAATGAATCCAATACGCCTGGCTTTTGTCCCGTTTCAAACCTCGAATAAACCCTCTATGGTGCAAGCCTGAATAGTGTGCTCCTAACTATTAAGCAGATGATAAGCACTATTTCCAATTTACTTTGTGACCTGTTGATAACAGCACCATTTTTGCAGTTACTGAGTGAGCCATAGGATCGAACACGAAACATGAGGAATGGTAGTGAATCGTCCAATGACAGCAACGGTCGTCTACTTAAATTTTCAAACCACACTGAAGCAGCAGTTGTTGGAAATTACCAGTGATGGAAACGAATCTACTGTGGGACACAGGATGGTCTCAAAAGCATGAACCCCATGCACGGGCTACACACATGTGGACAACTGCGCACCAAACTGGCGTTTCCCTGTTACCTGTACAGTAAATAACATTCACCTTATTGGTTTCATTTGGCCGCAGTTTTACAACCAATTTCATTGCTTATCCCTAATGATGTAGCTGCATTTCGCGGTCCGTCAGTCATACGTCAGTGAGGAGCAACTTTCCTGAAGAAGCATGGTACAGAGCGCACATACAGCAGTATCAAATTCAACATCGCCTGAAAAAGTCTATTGGTGTATTCTTAGCCAAACTCAGGATGCAAACGTCCCCAGTTAGCGAAACGTATAGGTGCTTGAAGCAATGTTTACATTCTTCAGTGTTAACATTGCGGAATCTAGTTACCATTTGGAGAGAATTCATCTGGTCGTGAAGTCCACAACCTGAGGGAGCGAATAAGGAAGTTCAACCAGGGAGCGACAAACATGGTTGTTCTCGAGGCACTGTGACATACTATTGCTATCCACATATGACAGCGCGATCAAGGTATGGAGGGCGATAAATACACCAGACGATATCACAGTACTTCAAGCTGATCTGGATACGGTATACGCGTGGTCAATCCAAGATCTGCTTTGATTCAATGTGGACAAATGCAGAGTGCCTCACTCACGGCACAAGTTGGTGCACTCCTACACACTCGGCAACTAGGAGCTTCAAACGTCTTCTGGCGAGAAGGATCTGGGAGTTTTGGTCCAGGTCGACCATGGATGTTCGAAACAGGCTGAAACAGCATCTAGGAGGGACATCCAACATGTGGGCCTCCTGAAGCATGCATTCGGATGAATCGACCCTACGAATTTTCCACAACTTCTCGGATCATACATACGGCCACATGTAGAATACGCAATACTGGTCTAGCAGCCATGGCTGCGGAGAGACCTCACGGCTTTGACGATACTCCAACGCCGGGGAACGGAGAATGTCAAGGGTCTGTATAATTTGGCGTATGTATGGAGGATATAAGTGCCCGGAGTTTTCAGCGGACAAGAGCGGCGATTGCGCGGGGACTTCATTTTGACTTACCAAATTTTGTGAGATCCCAACCATACGTGCTGCTACTTACTAGAGCTCAGTGACAACAGCAATTTGAGAGGCTACTATCGCTAACTCGCACAGCAGCACAGTAGGTCGGAATGCCGTCGGAATTTCCTTTCCGTATGCGTTTGCCGTACGGGGAATGCCCTACCGGAATCTGTCCTATGTGCTCCCACGCTGCACCATTTTACACGACCCATTACCCATGGATAAACACAAGTGTTTGTAAGTGAGTTCACTGGTGGGCAAAGCACAGAGTTTGTTTCACGTTTTTCAGCTCCTCTATGTGTATACAAGAATGAGACACGATTTTTACCAACATCCGATTTGCCGTCACTTCTTATGGCTTAGCTTGGATTTAGAGCCAATATTACGTATACTTCATTGAGTTCACTGGTGTAAACCCACTTTTGCCAACAATTTCATTATATTTTGAACTTGCACCATAACCATCCTACGGGACCTGTTAGGCACTAGCTTTATACACTTATAAAGCCATTGTTCCGTGTCTCATCAGCCCAGGAACCCACACTAGAGTAAAATTTGTGTGGGTTCTGTGTAGCACTACATTGCTCCAATCAAAATGAAGTCTGTGCTTTGTTTCTCGCGATTCGACACTCTAAGTGTGCCAGGTATACGACAGTAGTGGCCACTGGTACGTTTCTACATCAAGAGCAAAACCCGCTAAAATCTGCTAGTGTAGCTGGGACAGCAGCGGTCTACTGGGCCAAGATCTTTTCACTGTGCGTTTGTGTACTCGCTGGGCTGCCATGATTCAGGTGAAATAGGTGAGAATATCCGTAGGTCGGGATGTGTAAGTGAACTTTTCACTGCTCTCCGAACTGAATGATAGGCTTACTAACGTTCCGCTGCCGTACTAGGTAACAGCACCAGCGCTGCTTCAATGGTTCTGTTTCGCAGAGCCTCGTAAGTGAATTCGAGATCCAATTATTGCGGAATCCTGTCAATAAGTATTAAGTTGTTAAGAAAGCCATTCTGGTTTTTGTTATATTAATAATGTCTGTTTTATTTTTGGATACATTTTTAATAAGTTTCCTTGGAGGTGTCTATCGTTTTAAAGTGCATTCCTCGTCTTATCTAGTATTAGTAATGGTCTAATCAAAAATCGCGTTTTTACACTTTATAACACACGTAATGCAACGAGGGCGAAAGATAAATTCGCACAATTTTCTTATGCCAATTTAAACTTGGTCGAAATGCAACAGAAACAGCTCGTGAGAACAACAATGCGTTTGGTCGTGGAACCACCAATAACCGTACAGTACAATGGGGGTTCCAAAATTTCGAAAAGGTTCCGTGAGGCTTGATAATGATGTGTTGTGAATGGCCTTCGAGAGTAAACGACGATCAAGTAAAGGACCTAGTTTAAGTGGATCAGCGTAAAACGGTTCAATATCTTGCGTTTGACTTAGCAGTACCGCATGTGGCAGTCTTCAATCATTTTCAGGAGATTAGAATGTCGAAACGCTTAATAAGTGGGTGTCACATTAATTGAATGCAAATCGAAGAAATCGTCATTTCAAACTGCCATCTGCCCTTCTTTTGCGTAATGAAAACGACCCGTTTCTCGACCGGATTGGAACGTGTAATGAAAAGTGGATACCTTAGGACAATCGACGGCAGACTGCTCAATGCTTGGACCATGATCATACGCCACAATATTTTCAAATCCGAAATTGCACCCAAAATTGGTTATGGTAGCTGTTTGGTGGTTCGCGGCTGGCCTGATCTATCACAGCTTTCTGAATCCAGGCGAAACCATTACAGCAGAGGAGCATTTTCGACACATTGCAGAAATGCACCGAAAAGTTCAACACACGTGTCCGGCACTGTTCAACAAAAAGGGACCACTTCTTCTGCAAGATAACGCTCGGCCGCATGCCGCACAACCACCACTGCGGAAGGTGCACGAGATGGGCTACGAAATTTCCTCACTCACCGTACTCCCATGAACTCTGGCTTACCGATTATCCCTTTTGCAAGCACCTAGATAACGTCATACGACAGAAATTTTTTATACCCAAGCAGATGCTGAGACCGAATTCGACGAGTTCATTGACTCCAGAACTCCGGAATTTTATTCGTCAGGAATAAATAAACTTGTTTCCGGCAGCAAGTGTGTCAATTCGAATGGCTTTCATTTCGATTAAAGTACTACGTTTGAGCCAAGGAATGTGCATGTAAATTGTAAAATTAAAAACTGCAATAACTTTCTTAACAATCTAGTATTTGGATTTCGGAGCCGCTTACTAGGTTCTGTGAACCAGGCACTTGAAACCGCGTTGATGCTGTTTAGTCTGGAGACGAAACGTCTGCAAATCAATCACTCGGTTCGGAGTGTTGCCCTTCCTCTTTTGCTCGGTACACGATAGTGAGACACGAAGTAGACTGTAAGGAACTAAGCACCTGAGAACATCACGAAGGATTAAGATCTTTCAGTTCGATGTTGATCGAATATGCGTTAGTTATTACTGTTTGTCACCGTGTCAGAACTTGTCTACGTAATCAACACCTCTAACTTACCATTCCGAGTGCTGTGCTTTCCCCGCGCCGAACATTTGGCTGGTTGTCTAGTTTGTGCGCTGTGTCCATTGAGACGGGAAAACTCATGTATGGCGCTGGTTGAAAGCCATTATTCCACCACGATACTACGGAGTCATGATCTGGCTTCGTCATCATCGTTAGTGTCGATGTTGAGAAGGAGGGTGCAGCGGAACTGGAAATGGGCTGGGAATTCTTTTGGGTAAATGGATCACTTGATCCTATGGTCTGACAAGAATTGATGGCAGTCCTCGCTGGAAGGTGTACTGTGGACATTTTCGGGTTGTGTGAATCATAAACAGTTGAGGATTGTGTAGTCCGTATCAATGGACGGGGGAATTCACCAGAAAAGTTATCAAGGTTTGGTGGAACTTGTAACGGCGCACCTGATCCCCAGGATGGAGTCGTCCTTTTGTTGTACCATTCAGATGTGACAACTTCTGGGAAAATAGACAACCGGTCTGGCCGAAAATGTGGATGAGACACACAAGTTCCGCAATCATCTGACGACTGCAAACGACTAGAAATCCGATCTGGGGTTGTACATGGATAGTTGCCTCTGTGCACCTTGGGTTGTAATGGCTCCTGATTTATTGATAGTTTACTGCCTGTCCACGGAGCTGGGTTTCTGAATTTCAACTGAGTGGTTGTGATAGATTCAAGTGATTGGGGCTTCATGTGATTGGTTAGCCCACTTATTCCATTATACCTATGGTTGGCGACATGTGGAGTTTTAGCGGCTGCAAGTAAGCATTGATAATTCCATTTCTTTAGCTCCACAGGAGCTTGCAGTTTATCTGCACTCGAAAAATGAGTTTCTTCATAATTGTATGGATCCCCGTAGGTGTGAGCTCCGTGTCTGGGGGGCGTGCTGGATGCCAACATTGGATTCGTTTTGTGAATGGAGAAGATATTTGCACAATTTCCTGTCAAAATAGGGACAATGGGGTCTACACATGACTGGTGAACTGTAGTACCAACCCTCTCTCGTTTGCGCCATTTTGCTCGGCGGTTCTGGAACCAGACTTGTACTCTGGCCTCTGTGAGACCAGTTCGCATGGCCAACTGTTCACGAGCATAGACGTCTGGATAGTGAGTTTTCTGAAAGGTAAGTAAGAGATAGGAGAATTTTTGGAACCAGTGATATGAAAGGGTGATTGCGAAATGGAGCGAAACTAATTCCTCTGTCTTGGCTTCCAGTTGCGTTGGTAAACGGAGAAACATGCAGCTGCATGGGTTAGAAGTTGCAGTCGTAACATGACAAGGCCAAAATCAGGGAATGGCGATATTTCGTGCAACAAGGTAATTAACATTCAGCGGTACCAGTGCATCCTCAGACTACGGTAACTGTTTGAATGTCCCAAAACAGAACATCAGAAAGACTGGGGAGCTTTCTACAGTTTGTCATCACACAGACATGACAAAGCATCCACCAATAGTAAAATGTGATTCTGTTCACCAACCCTGACAAATTACACCCGAAAAATCTCAACCGGCTGCGCCCAGTGCTCGCAACACGTCTGTCAAGTGTGTCTACCTGTGTCAGGGGAGGCAATCAGGCTAGAATTGGTGCTCCATACTTTGGCTAGCACATCTCGATGTGGGCAGTCTTTATTAAACAAAGAATTCGTTTGTTAAATCGAACCTTCTGCAACTTCTCAACATTACATGTATTGATCCTATGAAGCGATCAATTAAGGGAAGAAAATATATCATTCCATTTGCACGGTTGTGACAACAAAGAAACAGTGAAAATCGATGACTTTAACATGAGACAACTGGATAGCTGATCCCTAAAATCTTTCTAACCGTTGAAGTACGTAGGTCTCAAAGTGTTTCACATTAACTGTTCCTAGCTTCCTACAACAACGATGTGCAGACATGCAAGATACCTTAACGTTCAGTGACCTCTACACCCCAACTTACGATGCCTATGAATGCAGTACGAAGAACGAAAACAGAATGAAAAGATATCTAAGTTCATCATTTACCATGTAATTTAAGACGAGCATCATTAACACAAAATATCTTAGCGATGCAACGGTGAGTCCGAAGCACAGCTATCCTTGGATAGTAATGGATCACCTCGCGGCTTCCCGCCAAGCAAAACAGTTCATAATGGAATCGGAATTAACAAATGCAAGCTTAGGGAACGTCATGCTCAAGGACGCACTTTACCACTACGAACCAAACTGCGGGCAACAACTGATGGTCGAAGCCTTTGTCATATTTTACACATAGCACCTTTATAAGCCTGTGCTTTAACTCTATAATGCCAAATAGACCCCAGCAATACCCTAAGTATTTGCAGAGTTCAGTACGATGGAACAGTAAAATCGAATATTGGAATAATTCCATTGGCCCCGAGTCTGTTTAATGACTCAACGAAAACCCATATCCTGCCGTCACCCAAGATTTGTTAGTTAACCTAGGTAGATCCCATATAAATAGTCCATTCACAATGATACCTCGTTTCACCACAAAGTAAGTGGTTTGCCTCCTTTTTACGACACTCGCAGTGTTCCTGTCTCCGATAATAAGCGAAGCGGTTTTCTAAATACTGTACAGTGCAATCAAGGCATAGATGTACGGCTTAAACAATGAAATCTACGTGACCAGTATCCTCAATAGCTCACCTGGGATACCTCAGTCCTTTCAAGAAAATTTGGGCATCGACGCCCTCACTTAATCAAGGAAACAAAAGGAGCTGCAATACCTCCTCCACGGGTGGGAACTCGAAATGGGTAGGAGCAAGTATGCATGCTTAAAATATCCTCGAACCTATACAGTCGGTATTAGTGGCACCAGTTTGAACTCCTAACCGATTCCATGTGATGCTGATCCGGTGTCCAACACTATTCAGCAGCTCACTAAACAGGCAGAACCTTAGGGAAACTTTCCTCGACCGCGCAGCTTTCAGCGTAAACCTCGATGTGCTTAAATACTAAGGAAACACTGTGTTAAATGGATTTGCATCAGATACCTGGGATAGCATCTTAAACTCTGGAGGACAAATGTTTTGTAACCACCGCCGTCTGGGTTACATATAGCTGGACGAACCCAATGGAGTCCATTTGACAACCAAGAAGTTTAATGTGAAGATATACCAGACCTGCTGAAGCATTTGTGTCAAAAGCGAAACGTTGTCTATCACCATAAATACATTAACCGGTCGTCTACCAAGTTTTCTGAAATGATGACTTCCCGATCGGTTCCAAATATGTTCCAAGACATTGATGTACCAGGGATTTTGGTAAAATTGCTTGGTAGTCCCCTCAAAAGCTTCGATTTTCTTATCTAGTAGAAGTGGTTCTGAGTTTCGCAGCATGCTAAAAGTGGCTCCTGCTGCAACATGGACATGTAATGTCATTTAACCCATCATTCCTCATCATTATACACGTTAGCTGCAGGTGGAGAACACCTCAGCTATTGTGCCGCAATACAAAAGACAAGAAAAGGAAAACAAACAGTGGCACGCCCGCTGAGTCCCCAGTAACGGATGGACATCGTTCCGGAGAGCTAACAGCTAGCTATCGTGCCGTAAAAAGAGAGTTATATTATGCCTAACGAGTGAGATCGTGATTGGAGGAGGATGCTAAGCAGGAGGGGGATGGACAAAGGAACTCACAACACAAACGCCATTGGGGCCGGCTCCAATTCATATCAACAAGTGTGTCCAACCAAACATGTTCACCGTCCTTAGGATCCCAGCCAGGCAGTTGGGATGCACCAACCGACGCCAACTTCGAAGTGAGGGTTTTCATCTCTCTCGACCAAGTCATCACTTGGCCTCCCCTCCTCCTCTTCCAACCGCATCCACAACGCGCAAACAATGCACGTCGCGGAAGTCAGTGTGCTGGCATGCGCAACATGTGGCCCAACCATCGGAGCCTGGTGCGTGATATAATGGTGCTGAGCGGTTCACTCGCTCTTCATGCACCAAATACGCGACGCCGAACACGCTCATTGCTCACGCGGTGCTCCCACCAGACATGAGCTAAGCTGCGAAGATAGCGATGATCGAATATGACGAGCCTCTTTATGTCTGTCGACCTGATGGGCCAGGTTTCACAACCATATAGGAGAGTTGAACGGACGGCTGCGTTATAAACTCTGCCCTTCAGGGCGAGAGTAATGTCGCGTCTGCGCCACAGGTGATGGAGACTGGCAAAAGCATCTCGAGAGTTTGCTATACGGTTCGTAACCTCATCTTCAATCCCACGGGTGCTAATATAGCTGCTCAGGTACTTGAATTCCTAAACTACTTCTAGCTGATCACCACAAAGCGTTAGCACAGGATTGGGTCCCTGTCAATCTTGGAGAAGTACTTTGCATTTCGATGGAGCAAAGCATAGACCAAAACGATTGACAGCCAGTACTAATCGGTACAGTGCTGCTTGGCATGTTTGGAAGCTGTCACAGATTAGGGCAGTATCGTCCGCATACTCCAAGTCAAGAAGTCGCTCACCAGGAAGTAGCTCCACACTTTCTAGCTCGTGTCCAGCGAACGCTGTTTCCATGACTTCATCAATAGCGAAGTTAAAGAGGAAAGGTGACAGCGGGCAACCTTGTCTCACATCGCTGGTGCTACTGAAGGGTGGCGACAGTTTGCCATAAACCCTCACTCTGCTCGAACTATGCGCGTACAGCGCTTTGATAATGTTTACATATTTAGCAGGCGCATCTTTCCTCAGCAGACAGTCCCAAAGGACATATCGATCGACTGAGTCGAAGGCACCTTTTATGTCAAGAAACACGACAAAGGTGGGTCGCCAATAAACATGACGGTGCTCCAACAATTGATGCAAGGTGAAGACGTGGTCAATGCAGTCCCGACCTCGACGAAATCCGGCTTGCTCTTCACGAATCTGGCTTTCACAAGTGCCAGTCAGTCTGTGGAGAATGACAGAGGCAAGCAATTTAGAGGCGATAGAAATCAGGCTGATCCCTCTATGATTGCTGCATTCCAGACGGGAGTTTCCCTTGAAATTCGGACAATTACGGTGCGGTTCCAGTCTGTCGGGACAGTCTCCTGCTCCCAAAGTTTCACTAGCAACTAGTGTAAATCATCTATTAGAGCAGCTCCCCCGAATTTGGAATTCAATCTGCCCCTGTGGACTTCTGCAATTTCAACAGCCTGATCTCACCTTCGACTTCTGCGCGTGAGGGTGGGTCCAAGGAGACGGCCCAAGGAGAAGCGCACTCAATGTCCGAAAAAGAAAGCGATAACTCAGGTTGGTTAAAGTGCCTCGCAAAACGTTCAGCCCAACGCTCCCAGCATTTTGACAGGCTGTGGATCGGCTGCCCACTCTCGTCGCGTATGGTCCCGCTAACACAAGGTCTCCTGCAGCCTGTTTCCCGTATCAGACGGAATAATTTATGCTGCTTGCCAACGGCAGCAGCTGTTTCCATCTCAGAGGCACGAGGAGAACCCCAGGCTTCGCCGTCTTTCTTCAGGCTAGCACGTAGTTTTGCCCTGAGATTTTTGCGAGTCTCATTTTATTCGCTTCAAGTCGGAATCCGTCGGTGAGAATCCTTAAATTCCAGAGACTGTGTAGAGACCCAATGTCCAGTTTGGCAATTTGATCTGCCACATGAAGACATGCCTGCTAACAGTAACATTTTACGAATATGCGATCAACGATCTTCAACGGTGTTTAGTGGGCGCTTACTCAGCCCAGACGTTAGCGCACTTTGATACACATTCGGAACATCTGGTTTAGACAGCTGGCTGGTGCCAATCCGTTCACATCGACGTTGCGGACGTTCACTGAAAAGCATCCGGAGGTCGGCGCAGACAAGTGCGTGCTCAGAGTCCACGCTCGTCCTCCAGATCGAGCGACAGTTCTGGACACAGCCTCTCCAGCGGTAACTGATGGCGATATGATCGATATGCGTTCATGGCTGGCCTGAGGCTGGTGGCCGCCAAGTCACGTTTCTCCGGGTGCTGTGTCGAAAGTTAGTGCTCGCGAGAAAGAGGCGAGCATCCTCACATAGCTGTGGCAATCGCCCACCATTATCATTACGGGAGCCTACACCATGTTGGCCGCCCAGATGAAGCTCATCAGAGGACAATTTTCCGACTTGGGCGTTTAGATCTCCAGCCAACACCACAGTATCCGTGCTTCTTCTGTAACGAAAGAGCTCGTGCAGTTTGCTGATAGAAATCATCTTTTACCGAATCAGTGCTACAGTTTGTAGAGGCGTAGGCCGCAATGACAAACAGGCACCGTTTATCCCCGCGCGACTTCGTAGCACGGAACGAACCAGCTAATCTAACGGCGCACATCCTACTGTTTACTGGGATCCAATCGATCAGGGCAGCTTCAGCCCGGGGACTCAAAACAATGCCGACGCCAGCTTGACCGGCATTTGAAGCTGCATCATCGCCAGCAGGCGCAATGAGAATGCGTCGGCAGTGTCGCATGTGCGGGATCGCAGGCTAACCACAGGGCTCGAATCTTGCAGGCGGGTTTCTGATAAACAGGAAATATCGATCGATAGGGTCTCTAGTGTGCGCGAAAGTGCTGCCTGTTGGTCAACCTTTAGCAAAGTGCGCAGGTTGAGGCATGCCAGTCTTAGCGAGACACGAGGATTCCAAGAGGAAACGGATGAACTGACGTCCGCTTGGTTGAACATGGATTTGTCGACTGGATTGGAGCGACGCCCTGCGACTATGTGTGATTTGCAACTACAAGACAAGCGACTAGTGAAACAAGCTGGGGGAGGGCCAAAAATTGGGGGAATGAAAGTGGGGGATAAGAGTAGAGTTGAAGCGGGACCATAAGGATTAAGAAGCGCAAGAGGGGGGATAAGAAGACGGGAAGGCCTGAGCAGTGGCATCCAAACCCATATCCACCCTGCTCGATGCAGCAGATAGGGCGCCGTTTATTATCCTCTGCGACGGCCAGAGCATCAAGAAACTATTGTAGGAAAGGTTCATTGTATTGCGTGGGCCGAATGCTGTCTGGTTGCCCAGGCCTAGACAGGAGAACGAGTAGGGTTCTCAACCAAAGCCTTTGGTTCAAAAACCTGACCGCAAGGCAGTGGGTGTGGGGTTGCGCTACAAGGAGTCCGTTTTAAGGAATAAGGTGCCACCCTTATCCCAACCCCCAACCTGGAGGACGAGGACGCTGAGTTTGTCTGGCCCCTAATCATTGACCGATCTGGAAAAAGTGGCTCTGAAGGTGCAGAAAAAGGACCACCCAGCATAGCTCAATGGATCTCTGAGGCACACAAACCATCGCACCCCGGTAAGGTCCAGACTCATTGCGATGGGCCAGTTAACCCACAAGTCAGTTACTACTAAATTACTGAAATGGGCTGCGAAGCCGAGTTAACTCTCTGGCATTCAATTGCCCCTCGTATGCGGTCAGCCATCTTCGGGTCTTGGAGAAACTGGTAGTTGAAACGAATGTTGAGACAATGATCATATGCCGTAAAGGTACAACGTATTCGACGACCTTCATCAAGGGCTGTTCCTCAGATACACGTCTGTGAAATTGCTAACACTATGTATACTGCGCAGTGGTTATTAAACCATATCGAGAAGGTAGGATATTAGAAAGTATGGCCCTCCCAGATATCACAAATGAGCAGATGTAGGATAAGAATTCAGATTCCGAGTTGAATATATCAATTAATCTAATCTTGTGCTAACCGCTCTACAACTTTACAGGAGCACGATTCTCTGAGCGATACTTGTAGAACAATCGCAGTGAGCAACCGATTAAGTTAGTGTGAACATGTTCGAACAAAGTACGTCTTCTAGAAATTTCACTCCTGGCGTAGATCGACACTTCTGCTATTGTATACGGACGAACAGTTTAGGACAACTGCATGGTTGCTGGAATATCCCAAGACACAGTGTATTGGACGTTGAACCTACCTGGTTATATGCCTAACGTTTACAACAACAACTCGGTATCCAATTGCTTTCGTAAAGAAACTTGATCGCCGTACAGTAAAGATTACTAGGCGTCAATCAAACTGAAGTGCCATCGCGATACATGCATCTCTCACACATCAACCCACAAAGATTCGGCTCTGAAATGCTATACCTAGAAAATACACTTTTGTATCGATGATTGTCTTATAGCCAATTAGACTATTCTACCGACCATACTGGCTTTGCCTTGAGGGTATAAAAGAGAAACAGAATGACGGTCGCTTTCCGTTACCTTTCCTTCTCGATTAGCGGTTCTTGAGACGTAAACTACGAGCCAAATACGAAGCCCCTGGCAGTTTGCAACTACTTCGCTCCGACAATCTGTGCACTCCTCTTGCTTGGTTTGATTTTAGTGGCAACTTTCCTTTACATATCCTCTGAAACTAAGACATCGCCAAGAAAAATGACTTAAAGTTGGACTAGTGAAAAGCATCGGGCTCGAAATTTTAACCGAGGGCTGAACTGGAGCGGCGAACTCCTACTTATCTTCGGAAGAAACAAAACTTCAAGCTCATTTAGCTGAAAAATTATGCTACAGCCGCTTCAGGAACAAGTGAAAACAAAACTCAAGCTGGGCCGTAATGCGACATAGATAACAAACAACCGTACCCCCACCCTCGTCATAACTTCATAATGAGAATAGCCGATAAACAAATCAATACTAGAGTCAGCTCACCTGAAAAACGCGTTCCATCTCGTTCAGTTGTAAGCTAGTAAACGTGGTTCGATTACGACGCTTCTTCAATTTGTCTTTATCGACTGTGCGTTCATCTACGCCGTTAACGTCTTCTGCTTCCCGTGCGTCTCGGTCCAGCGTCTCGGAAATCATTTTAGTATGCAGTTCTTCCATAAGTGAACCTGGTTTACAAAGCAGTGTTTTCCTATCGGGTGACATACACAGCCAATTTCCAGCATCAGTTGTATAAGTCGGCTGCATCGGTCGATCGCCAGCACCGCCTGTGGGCACACGCCGTGTTCCTGGACGTTGGTTTTTACGCCCGCAGAAAGTTGGTCCTGTTGGTCTGTGGAAAGCAATGCGGGGAATGGAATACACTACTATAATCACTCCTTGAAACTATTTGAAAAGCAACACATCCCGATGTCACTGCTAGGTTTTCAAAGATTGTTTGTTTTTGACATACAATGTTGTCACTTCCAGAGCCAAAGAAGGGCGTCTGGAAGACGTACCGGCGAGTACGACCATCATGCGTTTACTGGAGCTTAAAAACCAAGCTATAAACAATATTGAATCAGTTCAAAGCGACAAAAACTAAATTGGAAACTCTTTTGAGCTCTTCTGTTAGATCATCCGGATCATTTACTTCCGGAGGCTGCGGTGTCTCGGGCAACATCGTTTGGACATAGAAACAACAGATTTCACGACAGAAGTGGACTAAAACCGGTGAACCGACTTTTAGTTGCCAAGCGCGTCAGTCAACTACCTTCCGTGAAGTACACCAGGGTTCGCAAACAGGTGCCCTGTGGATGAGTATGCAGATTATAATGAATCAAGCCATCCCCACCATTACCTGCACTTGTGTAAACTAAAGTCGGAGCCCATGGGTGTAATGGAATGTGACAGTTGGTGCAGCGAATCTTGCATTTGTGAGCAAGTACAGCAGGGCCGCACCGTTTTGGAGGTTACTGCTTCGCAGGTAACAGGACTACCTCAAGGGATAGTGCCTTCAAGTCATTAACCAGCTGCGAAGAGAGCTTGTTGGTGCTGCGTTAGAAAAGAGTGGAAGTGCGGTTCTTCGATCTTACAGTTTTGGAGACCAAGCTACTGCTCTCAGAACAATTTTTTAAGAAAGAATAAGTTGTAAATTATGCTAGAAAGATTTAAAACTAAGAATGCATCCTTTACCTAACATGCATCAAGTGGCCTAGTGATTGTGACGACCAGACAATCGACGCTACCATTAGCTTTGTGGGCGCATCTTCAAGCGAAATGGCGGAATTGAATAAATACAGCAGGCGTACTGAGTATTGCACCGGTTCATTCAAAATAACGCTATTCATACTCTCCACTTTTTGGACATAAACTTCGAAGTGGAGCAGCAGCTGTGGTCTTTCCCTCATATATAGCACCAAACGGTTACCGAAGATGACACACAGGGTAAGGTGCCTAGAGGCTATCCACAATTCATTTGTGGCAAATCATGAACTGACATGCATCAAAATTCATTGGAGGGGTCGCTGTGGAGCAATCGTTGTGTGAATAGATTGCGACACGCAATCTGGATCTGCACTGCGATTCACTTCGAAGAGAACGGCCATCAACTCGGTCACCGAGACCGTATCTGAAGCATACTTTGATAGGTGTTACCATCTCGCAACAACGCAGCACACTAAACCGCATTTAACTGCATTAAAAGCTTTCCTAGCGTATTCTTTGTTTTCCTGACCCTTCTAAAATGGCTGTAATGTCGAATATTGCGTGAAAATTGCTTGTTCCAATGAGTTTCTCGTGTATTTGCTGGGTTAATATATTTCGTGGACTTTGCATCTGCAAGCTTCCAGACCACGATGAACAGCCGTGGACCAAATCCCTCGATAATAATAAAACTCATTTTTCATACCAGTTATCGGTCACATAATATATGTTACGTTTCGGATCGAAGCCACCTGGGTGCTGTTATAACGCACACAGGTTGAGTGGGTCTGCAACATGAGTTGACGGATACAAGGGAAAAACCTGCGGTGTCACGGAGACCACTAATATGAGGGAAACATAATTGCAAGATTTGTCTGCATTTTGACACCAAAAGGTGCGCTGCATGAAAAAACGTGAGCACTTGCAGCATCTGCTCACCAATTTGCCGAATTGAGGTGATTGATACTTTAGTGGTCTAGTCACGCACCACTTTGATGCTTACTAATCCGTTGCAGTTACTGTTGGTGCGACAAGTTGTAACACAGCCCACACATGGTGTGGAAAATGTTAATGACATTCATCCCGCCCCATCTAGTCATCACAAGAGTTCACATATATCACCGGCTGCAGATAATCCCCACCTTTTGTCTGATTATCACATAGAACTCGGTCCAATACGAACAATACAACTATGGCGTCACAGTTCAGCCACTATCCAAGTGTATTGAAAGCATTCCATGGAATAAACTGAATACTCGGAAGTTCAACTTGAAAAAGACTGGTTAAGTAATATCTTAAACCACCTACAGCTACTAGTTCACATGTGTTACCTGCAATATGGGCCAGTTCGATGAGTTCGTTTTTGTGTGTTTCTGTGCCGATGTGAAACAGACTAGGCGTGCAGCAACACAATGTTCCGGTATGATGTCAGTGTTGCCGCAATTTGAACATGTGTAATCCAGATTGATGTAATCGTATGAGGTTGCTTGAGGAAGCGGCAACTGAGCGATGGGCGGCGCGCAGAGTATTTTTGTGCAATCACCGACGCCCTCCAGTTGCTTTATAAAGCTGGGGTGGGTGCGTCCCACGTGACGTCTGCGTGTGAATACGTTTGCACACGCTCAGCTTCTGCCGGGTAGTCACCCAGGAACGGCCAGTCCGGTCTCCGTCTTGGTGCAGAAATGTGTGGGACAGTGCGGATGCACACGTGCACACACAGAAGAATCTCCCAGTTGCACTCTCTTAAGTCAGTGAGGTTGGCCTGCTTAGCGTAGCGTGTAGAAATAGAATGCGGTGAGGAAGAGAAATGGGCTGCATGTGAACCGTTCCATTGTGGCTTGATGCTCAACTTGATCTGAAGTGGAATAGGAAGAATGTCAGTAGCAGTAACAGCAGTTACGCTCAGGATATTAGAGGTCACTGGGCTATCTATGCACACCCAACCAGACGTTTAGTTACAAGTTAAATCTTTCACAATCATAGCCAGCTGGACAAGCATCACACATTCAGAAAACCTCTAGACTGCCGCTTGTATGGTCAGAACCCGCAGCCCTGCACTTCCGAGTGGATAGTAAGGTCCATGGACCTTAGGGATGGCAACGACCAAAAGGGCCAGGCCACTAGCCGCTAATAAGGCAATTCACTCTTCCCTCACTCGTACGTCACCGCATTACAGTGTTTTTCCAGACTTGTGATAATTATCAGACCGTGTGAACTTTTGAATAATTAAGTTCAAACCATTTAAATCTCTTCTCCTTTGTAATGAAGTTTGATCTCAACTGAAGTGGAGCATCATGACATTTACGATCACGACAGAGACCAATTGGGTGGGATCGTGGCTAGTTGCTTTTTTGCTTTTGTTCCTGTGCTGATTACCGGCCACTGAAGGTAGGGAGGCTTTACTCTAATCCACGAAATCGTCTTGATATCGCGTTTCAAGCACGGCCCCAGTGAGCGAATTGACCAAGACTCACAATGATGTAAACTGCGGCCTTCACTAAGAAAACAACTCCCAGTTCATTCATAAAACGCGTACTGCAAATTTACTCCACAGTGAGTTATTAAGCGTTGTGACAAGCGTTGCCATAGCGAATCGGCGGCGTAAAGGCTCCTGGCCCACAGTCTGTATATCTCGGACTATAGTCGCAGGTCCGATATCTTTGCATAAAAAGCGCCAGTAAGTACGGAAGCGTCTGGGGAATGAGATGTCGCATGGTGCAAGCAGTTAACATGTATAATCCGCAAATATGCTCAGAGTTATCGGGCCAATCGAGACTCATTCAAAATTCAGTCGCATACCCCCTTGAGATTGTGCGTTGAAATTCAGTCAGAACGAACTGGTAATTAGCGGACACTTCATTCCCTTTACGTGGGTAAACCACAGTTGGTTTCCTAGGCATATGTTAGCTTTTGCTGTTTGGACGCGCAGCCCCACAAATCTTCCAATCTCCACATTGAGTTACCAACCTGTGTTGGTACGCTGGTGCTTCATCTGTATGTATTCTTAATGACAAAAGAATACAGCGTCGCAGACCCAAGGCGATCACTGGACAGATTTGGTCTCAGTTACTGAACATATTCATGTGTGTCGCATGGATTCGACGCGGATACCGTAGCAGCTGTTAGATGGTCAGCTGAGTGTGGGGAAGCTGCATGTGGGGAAACTGAAGCTTCTTTACCAGGACATGATCAATGCGAGTGTAGCATGTTCTAACAATGATTTCAGGTATTGGGACTTGAAGGCGATTGATATGCGTGCATGGTGCGATATGATCACGAAGGCAGTTGCCGAGGTGGGGGAGAAAGCTCTCGTGCATGCGGAGAAGAAGCGGTAAGTGCGGAGGCCACAGTCGCCGATGCGATGCACTCCACCGACGTGGAATGCATGATGCTGTAGCAGCTGCGGTCGCGAGTGCCTGAGTCAGGCAGGTCTTGTGAGTGACGACCGAGGCCACTCGGGACTAACATCGGAACGACGACGCGTCCAGCATAGAAGGTCAGCAGAACCGGCGCAGTGTTGATAGGTACGCTACATGCTCGCTCGTTCGCTTTACTAACCGAGTACTTTCGTGCTGGGTTTCTTTATTTCAGGTGACTAGTTAATTGTATTGTCTTAATGCTTAATCTGTTACCTAATTTTAATGTCTGCCTGAATAATCTCCTATTAACTTGCACATGTTGCTTAATCGCAAGGTGGTTAACTTCGTTAATTTTTCTCGATTTTGTCGTGGCTCTTGGTCTCTTTTTTGACAGCTTGCATTTCTCGCGGATTTGTTCATAACTAATTTATTCCAGATGCTCATTTAGAGAAGCGTTATGTCGGCATATCCGTATGCCTTATTCGAGTTACTTTATTTGATATTGTCAGTTAAGGTGATTGGCTGTTGCGTGACTTCCCCGGTGTGATTACGCTTGATGTGCATGTTGATAAGATTCCTGCCTGTCTATTATTCTGCGTCTCGATTACACTGCCTCCAGGAGACTGCCAATCGATGCTAAAGGGAACGGGGTACACGAACCTCGTGACCGAGCTCTATTCAATGATTGGTTCCATCCAGTGTGGAGCGGAGTACTGCCAGCCACCGCCTTGTATACGTCTGGTACGCATGGTTTCCCAATAAGGCATGAATGATTCTGCTCTGCTTATGGAAGGAGTGTGTGCCGGCTCTGTTGATGAAACGTGGCTCCCCTCCACATGCCTCCCGGTCTTATTGCCTCGGGTTTACACTGGATAAGGGATGTGTGGATGGAGCTGTGGGTGGTGTAGCTCAAGCCACTGGGTAGGCGCAGGCGTCCTGTGGCTGGCCACAGGGACAAGCAAATCCGAAACCGGATGCCGCCAAGCATATAAACTTGACCAATAATCAATTGGCAGAGTGCCACAACACTGATAACAAGAAAAAAGAAAGAAATTATTATCAGGAGAAGTGATACGACGGTTCATGTGGTGTGTAGGTAGGGAAATTTCCGGTTGCTCAGAGCGAGGAGTAGTATATCCTCATAGAAGGAGGTAACATACACAATTGATTCCCATCCGGAATATTCGTTGTCTGTTTAATTGGTTTCGTTCCTTCCTCTATCATTTAACGTGACAGGCTACAGGAACTAGCTTGGATATAAACTGATTACGGGATCGCTTGTACGCCAATGGATGGATTAGGAGGCTCTTTATGTGGAATAATGATTGCAATTCAAAGGGCAATTTCAATTCACTTATCCATACACGGAAGCAATAGTACAGAAGGCAGTTATGCAGCCGCAACGAAACTGCCAACCGCATGCATCAATCGACAAGGAGCGATCCAATAATGGCGATAGGTGACCGGTATTCTCCGCACGTATGGTGCTTCTCTATCTTGGATATTGTTGAGTTGCACCATAGCACATGACTCATAACGATGAAATCGCGTGACGCTATTCACAATAACTTGATTACCATTGAGAGACGGCCTTTAAAGAAGTCTACCTAGTTCTTTTCCGTGATGAGGACGAATATGATTTAGAAGCTACTGTGATGAATTCTATATTAATTACATCAAAAATCACCGATTCATAGGTACTCATTCAACTTGTTGCCAGATTCACCGAGGTTCGCTAAGTCAGAGTGGTAGCCCGTGAGGTCTCCTTAACCGTCCAATTTCGCTCCATCTACCAGCACGCATATCGAAATCACCAGTGCCGACCTGCACTAAGTAGTGGCGGAGTCATAGCGATCGGTCGAAATTCCACAGCGCTTCACTTAGCAAAAATTCGTTTAGACAAATCGCCGGATGTCGCATGACGGTTAACATGAAAACTGAACAAAACGTAGGGTGAGACAGTGTCATTTCACTCACTGTGGAGTGGTACTATGGTCCTTTATATTGATCCAGTGCAGATGAGTCTATCGTAAGTCGAACACACAAAGTTCAGCAATTATAAAAGAAATATTGCCTGTCACTCAAATTTCGCATCACCACGTTAAAAGGTCCGGAATGAAATGAGAACTGGGGGTTGCCTGCCCAAAAACGCTACACTTCATGGCGCGTTACAATCTAATTCCATCTCATCAGGTAGAGATAGCAGGCATCGAATCCGGAACCAAGGGGATGTAAGTTGAAACCTCTACCCTAGAGGTTCCCAACCTGGGGGTAATTACCCCCAAAAGGGCAAAATGGCATTTTGCGGGGGTAAATATTAGTACGAGTACAAGTTTAATAACAAAATCATCCGTATCAAAACATGTCGCTAACTATCTATGCACTTTGGATTAGCCATCAGTGACCAGTCATTAGTCACTGCAACCAGATGACTCCTCTATCGGCTCCCGTGGCTATCGTCAGGCAGTCGTTCGCCGGGTCGAATTATGGAGTCGATTGCAAACTACACCATTTCCCGGCCAAGTTGTCCTCTTGGACAACAGAAATAATCTGAGGGAGCATTCAACATTAGTCTACTCAGTTAATTTGTTCCGCGCGTAGGAGCTGAAGCGTCCCACCTGCACTCCTATGACTCAGTGCGTCTGAGGTCCAATTGGCTGAAGGCGACGGGCTATATACCACACCTACACATCTGCACAAGTGAGTGGGGTACGCACGGAACAAATTAATTGAGTAGACTCATGTTGAATGCCCCCTCAGATTATTTCTGTTGCCCAAGAGGATAACTTGGCCGGGAAATGGTATAGTAGTTGAGCCTTGGTCAGACGACCAGGCAAGACGATGCGCGATTGTTTCCAGGTTAGAAGGGTCAAAACGGGCGATTAGTGTTCACCACCTATCGATACAGAGTGGTGGTGTCAAGTTATCATGCAGGAATGACTTGGAATGGAGGAATGCAACACGTGAGAAGGCACTGATATCTGTTCATGTTTGAGCATGAATCACACACGAAAGGGTCATATGATGCTTTGAATGGAGATAACAGCAGGCGTTTGAAAGTGCGCAGAACACCGCGTTTTGGGTCACAAAAAAGGCAGAATCAACGGATTGGACGCCAGTGACCACTGGGTGTTGGGTGGATTGCATTCATCTACAGTTGTTTTTGACAAGAAACCATGGCACGT